ATCGCTTTGAAACCAGCCGTCTTCGGATACTCGACGATTTCAGCGTCCAAATGTCCATGGACAACCGAAGCCAGGGCAAAGACTCCTCGTTGACGTCGATTCACATTGGTGTAGAGCCTCTTGTTCTACGCCTATCACTTCGTGACATATTGCTTGCGATGCAGATCATCGGCAAGGCTTCGTCTACAATGCCACAACCAAAGATGCAAGAAGACACGGAGCCAAAGAAGCTCAAAGATGTGAAAGCATCTTCCAAGGCGCCTTCTACGAAACGCAAGTCGATCACAGGGCAATCAACAACAGCGCAGAGATCCAATAGATCAAAATCAATCTCCAAATCGACCAAATCTGGACCAAAGCAGCAGCATACAAAGTCGGTGGTCATGAGTCGGGAAGAGATGGTCGCACAAATTGACGGCATCCGAATTATCTTGATTGGAGACATGCACGAGCTCCCACTGTTAGATTGGAGTGTGAAGAAGTTTGATATTGATATCCGCGATTGGTCCAGTTCCCTCACAGCCGACACCAAGATCGACACTTTCATCAACGTATACAATTTCTCAAAATCAACATGGGAGCCTTTAATTGAACCTTGGTCTTTAGGCTTCCATATGTCCAAACAACTTCAACCCGAGGTCGTGTCCATGGAGCTGTATTCGCACAAGAATATGGAACTGACGATCACGTCAGCTACAATTGCACTTGCGTCTAAATCCTTTAACTTCCTCACGACAGACGAGGACATCCTCTCAAAGCCGCGAGTGGCGGACGCGCCATATCGGATACGCAATTACACTGGATTTGATCTCAGCGTTTGGGCGGATGAGAAGAGCGATAGTGCAGCTGCAGCCAAGCTCACCGACGGTGAAGAGCATGCCTGGCGATTCGAAGATGCAACCTCCATGCGTGAAAGTCTCTCGCCGGAAGGGAATGCTGGCCTGGTGGGTGTCAGACTTGAAGGTAGCGGGTTTGACAGCGTCGTCAGGATCCCTGTCATCCGCGAAGGAGAAACCCTGTACAATCTCAAGCCGAGGAAGGACGGTGTTCTGCACCGCATGCTTGTCGAGGTTAGATTAGGGTCTGACAACGTCAAGTACATTACTTTCCGCTCACCCCTCCTTGTTGAGAACAAGACCCAGATACCCATTGAGGTAGGCGTCTATAGTCCGGGCGAAGGCCATCTCCTCAAGATAGAAAAAATCCCTCCTGGTGAAGGCAAACCGGCCCCTGTGGGAGCAGCATTCGTCCACTCGTTGGTCATACGTCCTGACCCGGGATTTGGATATGGGTGGTCGAATGAACGATTATTCTGGAAAGACCTTCTGAAAAGACAAACTAGGGCACTCACTTGTGAGTCGGAGGGCAGGGACGAGTCGCCACCCTTCTTTTTCCAGATGCATGCATCCTACGATGAGAAAGACCCCATTACGAAGGTCTACCCGTACATGAGAATCCAAGTCTCGGCGCCCGTTGAGATCCAGAACCTATTACCGTATGACTTCAAATATCGCATCTACGATAAGAACACAAAGAAGGATTGGATGAACTTTCTCCGTAAGGGAGGCGTGAGCCCTGTCCATGTCGTGGAACTATCTCACCTTCTGTTACTGAGCGTTGAAGTCGAGGATGCGCCCTTCAAACAGAGCGATTTTGCGATCATCAACAGTGACACCCAAGAAGGGTTCCGCCGGGAGAAGGTACTGCAGTTGAAGGACGAGAGAGGCGCCCAACTGAGACTGAAGCTTCATTATACGAACATCAAAGACAGTGGAGGAGCCTTCAGGGTGTCGGTGTACAGCCCATATGTCCTCCTGAACAAAACTGGGCTCGACATGAGTGTTCAGAGCAAGGCGTTCTTCGGTTCTTCCTCAAAAGCTTCATCCCCCCACGGAGCACGGACAAGTTCTGGAGAAGGGAAAGCTCTGCCGATGTTGTACTCTTACGGTACTGACGACCGCAAAAACCGCTCTCTCCTCAAGATCGGTGACTCCGTGTGGAGCAAGCCGCAAAGTTTCGACGCAATCGGAAGTTCTTATGAGGTCGTTTTGCCCTCTACTTCCGGCAAGTCGGAACTGCATGTCGGGGTGTCCGTGGCAGAAGGCGAAGGCAAATACAGCTTGACGAAGGTTGTCACCATCGCACCGCGCTTTGTGCTCAAAAATAAAATCGGGGAAGACATTGAGCTCCGAGAACCTGGTTCTTCAGAAGTTTGGAAGATGAAGAACAATGATCTTCTTCCCATGTACTTTATGCGACAATCTCCTGAAAAGCAGCTTTGCCTGTGCTTCCCTGGTGTCAACAACCAATGGTCATCTCCCTTCAACATGGCAAATGTCGGTATGACCCATGTCAAACTGGCCAAACATGGTCAAAGACAAAGGCTCATCCGCGTCGAAGTCATCCTAGAGGACGCTACCTTGTTTTTACACTTCAGCATCGAAACGAAGCATTGGCCGTTCTCGATGAGAAACGAAAGTGATACCGAATTCATATTCTTCCAGGCGAACCCTAACCTTGGAGAAGATGAAGAAGAAGACAGAGGAAGCGGCTGGAAGCCCATTCGGTACAGGCTCCCTCCACGGAGCATCATGCCTTATGCTTGGGACTATCCCGCTTCGAAGAACAAGGAGCTCGTCCTTTCCGCCTGGGGAAAAGAGAGATACGTCAAACTAGCAGAAATAGGCAACTTGATACCGATCAAACTGCCACCAGGTGAACGTAGTAGGCCAATGAAAGTGATCGATATTAATATTGTGGCCGATGGACCAACGCAGACATTGGTATTGTCCAACTACAAGCCGTCCAGGTCGTTGTACCGACAGAAGACGGGTATGACGACCGCATCACAGACAAGCCTCAACCAAGGCTTTGAAGTCAAGCAAATTGAATCAGAGATCAACTTCAAAGCCGAGTTGCGACTGGCTGGCATAGGAATTTCGTTGGTCAATAGCAAGTTGAAGGAACTCATGTATATCACATTCCGGGAGATGGATCTCAAATACGGGGACTCCAAGCTGTACCAAACATTGAACTTCACAGTCAAATGGATACAGATTGACAACCAACTGTATGGCGGCATCTTCCCGATCTTGCTGTATCCCAGCGTGGTGCCCAAAACTGGCAAAGAGATGGAGGCGCATCCTATTTTCCACACTATGGTTACGAGAGTCAAGGACGATTCATACGGTGTGCTATATATCAAATACGCCACCCTACTTCTGCAGCAGATCACGGTGGAGCTTGACGAAGACTTCATTTTCGCAATGCTCGACTTTGTGAAGGTGCCGGGTGCCTCGTGGTCCGAAGAAAAGGAAGGAAAACTATGCGACGAGAGTCTCGATGTACCTGAGCCCAAACGAGAAGAACAGGGTCAGGATGTCTATTTTGAACTGCTTCACCTGCAGCCCGTCCAGCTTGATCTCTCTTTCGTTAGAACAGAGCGCATCAACGCTGAGGATACTTTCGTCAACAGTCCGCTGATGTTCTTCGTCAATGTCATGACCATGTCAATCGGAAATGTCAACGACGCCCCCATCCGGCTCAACGCGTTGATGGTCGAAAACGCAAGGATATCCGTTCCAGCGTTAATCGCCAACATCCAAGACCACTACACGCAAGAAGTGCTCCGTCAAGTCCATATCATCCTCGGATCGGCTGACTTCCTGGGCAACCCTGTCGGGCTATTCAACAACATCAGCTCTGGTGTTGCCGACATCTTCTACGAGCCATACCAAGGCCTCGTTATGACCGACAGGCCACAAGAGCTCGGTATAGGCATTGCCAAAGGAGCCAGCAGTTTCGTCAAGAAGTCTGTCTTCGGCTTTAGTGACAGTATGGCCAAGTTCAGCGGTTCCATTTCCAAGGGTCTTGCAGCTGCCACCATGGACAAGGAGTTCCAAGACCAGAGGCGAATGTCCAAGAGCCGAAATCGACCCAAGCACGCCCTTTACGGCGTCACTGCCGGCGGCAACGCCTTTGCCGCTAGTATGGCCAGCGGTATTGGCGGCCTTGCTCGTCATCCGCTCGAAGGAGCAGAAAAGGAAGGCGCTTTGGGCTTCGTCAAAGGCGTAGGAAAGGGATTCCTTGGTCTGGCCACCAAGCCCGCCATCGGCGCTTTCGATCTCGCCTCAAACGTGGCCGAAGGAGTCCGCAACACGACGACGGTATTTGACTCGGAAGGGCTGGACCGTGTTCGTCTGACTCGCTTCATCGGCATGGACGGTATTGTGCGGCCATACTCTCAGCGCGAAGCCTTAGGACAATTCTGGCTCAAGACCTGCGACGACGGCCGGTATTTCAACGAAGAATACATTGCCCATTTGGAGCTCGAGGGCGGCGACATGATGGCGATGATCACCTATGACCGCATCTTGATGATTCGGACCAAGAAGTTGCGCATGGAGTGGGACATCAAATTGACGGATGTGCAAACCATCAGCAAGGAGAGGACGGGGATGAGTATCGGGTTGAAAGGGGGAGCGAATGGACCCTTCATTCCTGTGGCGGATGAGGGGAGCAGGAACTGGCTGTACAAGCAAATTGCTATTGGTAAGTTGGGCATTCTTGATGGCGGAAAAAGAGGGGAGATGCTAACAGCCATTGCACCAGCCGTGAACGCATTTAACGACAAGTACAACGCAAAAGGATGACGGTCACAGGGACAATGAACATCATTTTCGACTATGCTATGAGACAAAATTGCGCCTCTTCAGGCGGCTACATTGTAAATGTCATGCATACTTTCCAATTCGCAAGTGTCTCTGGGCAACAGGTATGCGGAGCTTTGTTCAGTGTATGTTTTGGAGGTGGAAGGAAATAAGAGACTTTTGCTGGCCCCCTCACATGTAAAATAGGCAATGAATGATAATGAAGTGGACGAAGAAGGTGCCCAGTGAGACCGTCACTCACATCGTCATTTAGCCGCACCTTGCCACTGGGATTTCACAGCTCATCGCCGCCACTTTCCTGCCGGTACCGCCAAACAAGTGACTTTTAAAATGGCCAAAAATGACCAGCGATATTTCAAACTTTCAATCTGTTCCCTTATCGCCTTTGACACCCTTGGACTTCGCCAGCTTTTGAGCACTGCAACAATGGAACACCGTAGCGTCAGCAATCGCGAGGGGGTAAGTCGTTTCGACTTCTCATACATCCTGCCCATTTGCGACAACAAGCTGTTCAGTGCGCGTCTCGGTGATTGATCGAGCACGAAGATCAATTTTCCACGTCGCACCCAAGTCTCGGTGGCCATCCATCACATCAGCGGCGACGCCTGGTAGACTCACAGCTGACAGCAAACCTAGTCGGAGCAACAGGTCCCGCCTGGAAGAGCAGCACCGGACAGCACTCGACAGATCCAGCGCCTGCAACTTAGCCAGCTCGTCAGTGAGATGGCCATGAGCGTGAAACTCCCCCGGAAACGCAGCGGCTTGACGCCCGTCGCACGCGACAAATATGGAGTGCCGATCATCATATCCAATCGCGCTGCGAAGGTCGGGACACGCCGACGCAGAGCCCAAGGACAGACAGAGCCACCATATCCCCGATCCCCTACGTCGATTGCGCGCAGGCCTTTGCCTGTGCCTTTATCTGTGCCTGCTCCCGCGGCCTTCTCAGCAGATTCTCGCCAATCCAAGGGAGACAGAAAGGACAAAAGCAGAAGCAACAGTAATGGTAATAGGCAAATCAATGATAATGACAACGGTAATGACAATTCGGCCACCGCTAGTGACATCCAAGTTCGGGCACCGGGCAGCGGTGGAAAAAGTGGAGAGACAAACAGAGGTCAACGGGGACACGCGGGCAAACTCACGCTCATTTCGGCCGACCAACTCGAGGATCTCCGCGCCGACCTCATACAGTCCGCCAGGGAAAACAGCGACCTTCGCCACGAAGTCGACATGCTGGAGCGAAAGCTGGCCCGCGCCGAGGATCAGAGGGAGACGTACTGGGCGTGTGGCGTGGAGTGGGCGCGTCGCGAGAAAGGACTGCAGAATGAGCTCGAGCACTGGAGGGCGCAAGGAGAGGCGGCGACGAAGTGGGGTTCCGCCATTGAAGGAGCCGCGACATACGGCTTCGTCGGCGGCCGCGGGTTCGGTGGTCGTGATGAACTCGATGAAGATCAAGGCCAAGGGTCAGGGCTGGGGCTTCAGTTCGAGCTCGGATTCAATGCTGAGGATAGTGGGACAGCTTTCGACACTGGCTTCGACACAGACTTTGGCACTAACTTCGGCGCTCATCCGGGTCTATTCACCGCAGCGGGGGGAGGAGAGGAGTTGGACGAGGAGCGAGACGCCATGATGTAGATAGACTGATAGAGCTCGTCCTTGACTTTGACTCAGACTTTGACGCTGGCGAGAGGTTTATTACGTTGCCATACCCCTTGTTCATACGCAAGGACTATTCTATGATGGCAAGGCACAGAAATTTTGGCACCTACCTTGTCTAACTAGCCGCGTCCCATTGTGCTTCGTGGTCTGGTAGCCTTTATCACGGAATCTTTTTGGCTAATCTCTCCACATTAATCTCGTGAGAAGGATCTCCTGACTTGTTAGATTGAAAATATAGCATTTCGATCTCAATATTTGTCGAGCCTCTATTGTAATAAGGCAAAGTGGCTGTGCTATGCTGTGCTGTGCTGTGCAGGGCTGGTAGAGTGGTAGCAGGGGGGGGGAGTTGTCTAGTCACATGTCAAACCAAAATGGGCTGGCAGAGGGGAGTGCGGAACAGTTTACAGTGCTGGCAGAGTGCCATTCTTTACAGTTTGAGCAGAGTATCATGAATTAAATGGCCTTTTGCTGCCGTCTACCTAATTCCTGAGTGTTTTATCAATCCTGTCCTGTTTCTAGATGCTGCCGCTGTGCTAGGTGTTCGTAGCCCTAGCCGCTGCCCTTTTGGGTGGTGTTGGTGGTGTTGCCTCGTCAGTGCCAACCAGAAACGCGTCCTCGATTCCCGACCTGCTGGACAGGCCTCGGTGCGTTGTTCCACGTGCACGCCGAACCCTGAAGTGCTCTGTGACACTATAAATGATCCCTCTGTCCATTGCCTCTCTTTGTCCTAATCAGAGATTGTTATTTTCGGTTCGACTGCTGGTAACAGGAATGACCTACTACGCTACTGAACTTATATGTTGTTTATCTTCCTTTTATATATTTAGACCAACTAGGGTGCTATATACGTCCCCTATTATTAATATCGTGTGGGTATCTTCGCCCGCCTAAGCCAATTTAGGTTCTCGGTAGTACTCGAGTCTACTTAGGTTGAGGCACGTGGGAAGAGAATTATAAGCAAGGGAATGTAGATCGGCGGGCCTGGTACATGAACTTTTCCAGCGCCCTTGAAGGCTGGGGAACGCGACTAACAAACGTACCTAGGTCCTTGAATAATGATCCTTCTCGTTTAGCAATTCGCGAATAGTGTTGGCTACTGCCGTCACTGTATAGTCCTTAGTATCAATATCAGTGGAAGTCATATTTGCCTAAACGTCTACTTATGTGGTTGTCCCTACTAGCTCTGGTGTCGTTATAGCCTTTCGCCTTTTGCATTTCAGTTAATGAACCCTCCAGATCACTGATGCCCACACTCACGAGAGGCGGCACACCGTCTCTCTCACCTATGTGAGATGGCATTTAAGTCTGATTTCAAGGATGGTGCCCATTTCAGCAGCACCAAATGGTTTTGTTTCCAGTTGTAAGCTCTCGGCAATTGAGGGATGAGCGGCCTTCAAAGCGACATGATTAACCGCCAAATTCGGCGGCCAATTTCGGTGCCCTGCTTTCACCGTTCTTCAACCACCATCGAGGCCGCAGGCCGCAGTTAGCCGCCCTTCTAAGAATGTCTGGATCTTCTTGGATCTTCATTCGCAGGTATGGATCAAGACAGATTGTTTCCAGATCATAGTCGTCCGATATAACGCATTTGTGCCAATTGGATAGATTTCGTAAGGCGTCTGAAATTAATCCAATCGCCGAAGATCGAAGAAAGTCTCTCCTTGCTCGATACACTGTAACGTATTCCTGATGAAGGTGGAAAATCTCTGATTCCTTTGGTCCTTGGATAAGGGTTTGACACCGGAGGCGCCACACAGCCCCGTCCAGACATTCTTAAGACAAGACCAACGGGTCCCATATGATTCTTCTTATCTGATGAGCGTGGCTGGAATTACAATGCTCGAGAAATCCAGCCCACGGCTTCTCATAGCTGTTCAGATATACAGTGCTAAATAGAAAATCGACGCCTATTTTAGCTCATTCGCGTCGAACAGAAAATGGCAGAAGAGTCTGTCGAAAATCTCTCGGGACCCTTCCAGCGCACCCTCCCACAAGAGCTAACCACCATTTAGTTGATTTCAGTTAGACCCACAGAGTTCGATGCTGCTCCTAGAAGGAACGAGGAAATTATTCAGCCTTGCACGTCAATGGCTCACATTTGAAACTTGACGGGTTGCCTGTTTGGAGGACAGTTTTGATTTGAAAAGTTGAAAGAAGCATTATTAGCAGAGTAGACTGGTGTGTCAGTTATCGGGCAGCGCTATTGAAATAGAGCGAGTATTGATTCGTGGCGTGTTCCAAGGTGTAGGCGGTCACACTGTGTGCGTCAGCACCATATGTACCGGGTAGCCAGGGAAAGTACAAAGCGCAAGTACGGGTACCACACCAGAGCCTCACTAACCCTCTATGGTTAGGCTAGTCTAACGGATACCATTGAACCTGCTCCACCCAATCACGTTCCGCTAGCGCCTCAGTCACGTGATCAGACGGGTTTGTTCCTCTCGGCCACGCTAATGCATGCCTACCCAAATCTACTCCAGGCTTCTCTGCGATGTGATCGAACATTCTTCAGGGTACTTTGGCCATATTCATTTGGATTGTTACCATGGCTTAGATTTAAATGTCCCTGGTATCCGTTAACTAGCTTTGTCTGTTTCTGGCTCACGAATCTTGTCTTTCCACCCAAGCCAGCAATCAAACCTCGTCCTCGAACCCATCCTGATTGCGCTTGCGACACGACATTCCTTTTCACGATTCTCTTACACCGCCTCCATCAACAACCTCCCTCACACACCCCAGTTCACGCGATATATGTCCCAACCGGCAGTAAATCATTCTTCAGTGATGCAGGCGATAATGTTATTCCCCTACCATACTCTCTTCGACGTGTCTTAAGATCAGGGTGTAACGCAATGCGCCTTTTGAAATTTGACCGTTGTGGGAAGCTGAGCCTAACCAAAGACTTGATCGAAGATATTCCAAGCTACGCCATACTTTCACATACTTGGGACACGGATGAGGAGAATGAGGTTACTTTCAATGATCTAAAAGAAGGATTCGGTCCGGAAAAGGCTGGGTATGCGAAGATTCGATTCTGTGGGGAGCAAGCTAGGAAAGATGGTCTACAACATTTCTGGGTGGACACCTGCTGCATTGATAAAGCAAATCATACCGAGCTCTCGGAAGCCATCACCTCGATGTTTCGGTGGTATCACGATTCAGCAAAGTGCTACGTATACTTATCAGATGTCACGGCTAACAAACGCGCAATCGACGAGACTGAGCCGAAATGGAAATCTGCGTTTCAAAAAAGCAGATGGTTCACACGGGGCTGGACGCTTCAAGAATTACTTGCTCCGAAATTTGTCGAATTCTTTTCGCGAGAAGGTGAGCGACTAGGTGATAAGACTACGCTTGAGCGGGAGATCCACGAGACGACCCAAATTCCGATCGCGGCTCTCCGGGGCGGCCCTTTGGCCGATTTCACGGTAGATGAGAGAATGCAGTGGGGAGAGAAACGGACAACCAAAAGGAAGGAGGATAAAGCGTACTGTCTGCTGGGCTTATTCAACGTGTCTATGTCTCTCAGATATGGTGAGGGAGAAAAGGCCTTCATTCGGCTTCAAGAAAAGATCGATAAGTCGTCACGGAGTGACCCACTCAAGGAAATGGATACATGGATTCGCAATGAGTGTTACAGTCTGAAAAATCTGAGGATTGAACGACTCTCGGGTCAGTTGTTGTCGATGGATCAGTGCTACATCAACCTCGCAATTGTGCGGCACCGCCATCAAGACGCCCATCCCTTAGAACAAGGGGATGCTGCGCATCAGTCGTCTCCCTTTTCACTCTTCCCTCGACTCCAGGTTAAGGAGCGGCACGAGGAAACGCAGGTTTCCTTGTCGACCATCTTCAGCCCCCGCAAAGGACCTAATGGTCATACGAAACAGCCCAGACGAATCTTGATTCGAGGACAGGCCGGGGTAGGAAAGACCACGCTGTGCAAAAAGATTGTCCATGACTTTACTCATCATGGTATGTGGGGAGGGTTATTCGACCGCTTACTCTGGATTCCTTTACGGAAGTTGAAAGGACAACATGAGGGATACAATATTCAGAGTCTATTCCGTGACATATACTTCCTTAACCATACCGACAGGACAATTTTCGCACGTAAATTGCACGAGGCGATAGTCAACTCGAAATACGGAAAAACTCTCTTTGTCCTCGATGGCCTCGACGAAGTATCTCTAGATTTTCGGAAGGATGGAGCCATGTTTGAATTACTTCTCTATCTCTTAAACCGGCCTAACGTCATTATCACATCTCGACCACACGGAGTTCTCCCAAGTCGCCTGGACCTTCCCGACCTAGAGCTGGAGACTCTCGGATTCTACCCTGACCAGGTTATGACATATCTTGAGAAAACATTTCCTGACACGCAAAAATTTAAAGAAATTCAGTCATTCCTCCAAGATCATTGGCTTATCCGGGGTCTCGTTCGGATTCCGATTCAGCTGGATGCAGTCTGCCTCACTTGGGACGATGGCAACACCTTCAGAAAGGTCCCGGAGACCATGAGCGCGGTTTACCGAGCAATTGAACAAAAATTGTGGAAGAAGGATCTTCCACGCTTGGAGAAAATAGTGAGTGGAAAGCCATTGCATGACGCTGACATTCAAAGAGCTTCGCCATCAACTATAGAAAGCCTAGCCAGGGGCGAGATCCTTCTGCTTGAAATTCTAGCGTTTACCGGACTGCATAACGACGTTATTAACTTTGATTCGGAGTTTTTGGACATGATATACGCGTCTTTGACATGCCGGGAATCAGTTTCTCTGCCTGACCAGGTTCTCGCAAATGTCTCATTCCTTCGGACGTCGGATCCTTCATCACAGGATCGTACCCAATATCACTTTCTCCACTTGTCCTTTCAAGAGTATTTTGCGGCACGGTATTTCGTACGACATTGGAAAGCTGGACAACAACTCGAATGTCTACAACTCGAAGGGGAAAGCATTAAGAAAATATCACCTATCCTTTTTCTTCAGAAGCATAAATACTCGACTCGCTATAATATTCTGTGGCGGTTCGTCGCCGGGCTACTTCAACCTAAAGAGATAGACGTACTACAATTTTTCAAGGCCCTCGACGAACCACCCGACCTTCTGGGCCCGGCACACCAGCGACTGATCATGCACTGCTTAAGCGAAGTGACGTGCTCGAACAGTCAAAGAGATTTCGGTTTAGTTCGCGAAAAGTTGGAAAAGACATTGTCCGATTGGCTGCATTTCGAATGCAATTTCAGAGGGCGAGCAGAACTAGCACGCGAGACAGAGTTTCCAGAAAATGTGGTGACCTCTATTCTACTGAACGGGCCTGAAGAGGAGAGGGCGTTAGTTCTAGAATCCCTAGGAAGACGCCCCGGGATCCGGTTGAGCGTTGCGACAGCGGCTACCTCTTTACTAGAAGAAAGCCAGTCTATGCGTTCGAAGATAGCTGCATGTAGAGCGCTCGAGGGCTATCATGGACAATTGCCGAAGGATATACTCAAGAAGCTTGCGGCACGACTCGAGGACCAAGATAGGTACGTCAGGCAGGCCGCCCTTGAAGTCCTTCAAGGTCAATCCTCCTTGCCAGACGAGATCCTCGCACGACTCGAACACCAAGACTGGTACATTAGGCAGGTCGCCCTTAAAGTCCTTCAAGGTCAATCTTCCTTATCTGACGAGATCCTCGAGAAAGTGGTGACACGACTTGAGGACCAAGATTGGTACGTTAGGGACGATGCCATTGAGGTCCTTCGAGGTCAATCCTCCTTACCAGACGCGATCCTCGAGAAAGTTATCGTACAACTCGAACACCAAGACTGGGATACTAGGCAAGCGGCCCTTAAAGTCCTTCACTATCAATCCTCCTTATCAGATGAGACCCTCGAGAAAGTTATAGGACGACTTGAGCACCAAGACTGGCACGTTAGACTAGTAGCCTTTCAAGCGCTTCGAGGTCAATCTTCTTTATCAAATAAGATCCTCGAGAAAGTGGTGATGCGACTCGAATATCAAGACTGGGATACTAGGCAAACGGCCTTTGAAGTCCTTCGAGGTCAATTCTCCCTGTCAAACGAGATCCTTAAGAAAGTGGCAGCACGACTCGAACACCAAGACCAGGATGTTAGGAAGGCCGCTCTTCAAGCTCTTCAAGGCCAACCCTCCTTGTCAGACGAGATCCTCGAGAAAGTGGTGGCACGACTTACGGATGAAGACGAATACGTCTGGCAGGACGCTCTTGAAGTCCTTAAGCGCTTCTTCTCCTTACCAGACGAGATCCTCGAGAAAGTAACAGTACGACTCGAAGACGAGGGTGTTAGGCAAGCGGCCCTTAAAGTTCTTCAAAATCAAACTTCCCTACCGGATAAAATTCTTGAGAAAGTGATCATACGACTCGAGGACCAAAACTGGTACGTTAGGCATATGGCTATTCAGACTATTCAACAATCCTCCTTATCAGACGAGATTGTTAAGAAAGTGATGATAAGACTCAAATATCACGACTGGAGCACTAGACAGGCGGCCCTTGAAGCCCTTCGAGGTCAACTCTCTTTATTAAACGAAATCCTCGCGAAACCGATGGTTTATCTCGAAGATCAAGATCAACACGTTAGACAGGCGACTCTAAAAGTCCTTCAAGGTCAACCCTTGTCAGACGAGATTCTCGAGCAAGTAGTGGTACGACTCGAAGACCAAGGTGAGTACGTTAGAGAGGCTGCTCTTGAAGTCCTTCGAGGTCAATCCTTATCAGAGAAGATCCTGGAGAAAGTGGTAGCACGACTTGAGGACCGAGATCAGTACGTCGGGCAGGCGGCCATTCAGACCCTTCAGGCCTTTCAAGGCCAATCCGCCTTATCAGACGAGATCCTCGAGAAAGTGGTGGCACGACTTGAACACCAAGACTGGGGGACTAGAGAGGCGGCCCTTAAAATCCTTCGAGGTCAATCCTTATCAAACAAGATTCTCGAGAAAGTAGTGGCGCGACTCGAACACCAGCACTGGGCTATTAGAGAGGCGGCCCTTGAAGTTCTTCAAGGTCAATCCTTAGTAGACGAGACCCTTGAGAAGGTGGTGGCACGACTCGAGCACCAAGACCATATTGTCAGGGAGGCCGCCCTTAAAGCTCTCCAAGGTCAATCCTCCTTGTCAGAGGAGATCCTTCTTAAACCTCAATGTACGGAGCTTCTCTACAAGAGTTGGCTGCATCGCAGTTTTGATGAACAGATTTATGGGTATCTCGCTGGCTATGGGTTGTCTCTCAATACTCCGGAAGGCGTCAAAATGTTCTCCTTTATGAGCGAAGATGGCCTAGTTCGATTTAGAGGCAGGGTTAAGGACGTGCAATCAAACTTACATGTTCCTAAGAAGTGGGATACCGGTTGAACGGCCCTGTAACGTCAAGGACAGCTTTCTCTGCAGAATACAGCGTTTCTCAATGGTTTCCCAGCAGCCGGAGGGATCTTCGAGCACGGCTTCCATTACCGACTTCTAATACCATTAGACTCAATTTGCCGAGCTCCGCATCGAAGCTTTTCACAAGGCCTCTTCTCTCGAACCTACCAAAGTCTGGTCAGGGCAGTCTCTTAGTTAACGCAAGCAGGAATGAGATTCTACGGACAGAGATACTCGCTGCGACTGCCTGGTGGTAGACCTGGAGACCTGGGTTAACCACTTCGCACCTATCGCGATCACCAGAACCCACCTCTCGAAAGGAAAAATGCAATGTTCGAATGTGCGATACTGCAGTGGCATTTCCGTCCGGTAGTCGCTTCAAATCAGCATCTGGGTCTGCAAAGAGGCGAACGGCTGTCATGTACCGTGGAGTGTTCCATTGGAGTTCTTGCGTCTCTTTTCAGCCTTCTTCGTAGACGCCCCCAATGCGTTAAATCCACACGGCCAAGAGATTTGATGGGCGGACCCCATTTAGCAGGTTCAGCATTCTCACGGGAAAATGGAGGTCCACTAGATCGACAAAGGCTCCTGGGAGTCAGATGAGCGTTCGTCAAAACCTCCGATGTTCGGATTGTTTGTCACTTGTCGCTTGGCTGGTTAGAAGCAAAACTGAATTTCTTTGAAGGCTTAGAAGGTCAACATTATGGCAATCGAACATACTCACGGGGCCCCTCTCTGAGTCCCAATTAGTCGCATTGTGCGCACTAATGAACATTCGTACCTTTGAGACGGTGGTTTTACATGGCTATTCCACCTCTCCGCACCCGCTGGCAGACCAGTAAATACAATAATTTCTACACCACTGGCTTGGGTGAATACCGACATCCAGGACCTTGCATCTTCATGGCGATGATTCAGCCCGATCCGACTGAAATCGACAACGCCGTTCTGGTCGGCGCTGGCAAGACAAGACCACCACCAACACCACCCCCAGAGAGGCAGCGGCTGGGGCAACGAGCGCCTCGCATGGCGGCGGCGTTGAGGAGTGAGAAAAGACGGACATAACTCTCGAGAACAGGTAGACGACATCAAAAAAACCATTCAATACTCTGCTTAAACTGCGAAGAATAGCACACGCCCAGCATTGTGAGCTGTCAAGCATGCCGGCAACGATTGCATACTCGCACAGTCATTCTGTAACTGTCTGTTGTGCCTGCTGTTCTCGTTGTTTAATGCTCAGTTCCTCCTTCCTGCCTTCCACCATCGCAGCCACAGCAAGAATGCTAGTTCTTTTTGTCCTGACATGTGACCAGCCAAACCGGCCGGCTACTCCCCCACGCTAGCACAGCACAGCCACTTTGCCTTGTTACAATAGTAATAAGCTTAACCTTGTGATCGGTAGCGTCAAGTGTTAAAGTTGAACGTTAGACGTCTTTCAAGTGCCTGCCGTTACAGCGAACAAATCAACAGCAAGGCTGGCTACGACGCTAATCTCCGGATAATGCTATATAGCTCCTTCTACTCGTACGTATCCTATGATATAATCTAATTGGATACGACATGATATAGGTCTCCCTCGTCGGGCGCTGGGCAACGGGAGAGGGGGGTAGGGTCCATATCGATCTACTCGTACTCGTCCATATCGATCTAATTCGTACCGCAAGCGGAGTTCCCCACGCTGCACGCTGCACTGCTCCCTCCCCCGGCCCGGGGGTCGCTGTGTTGTTGGACTTCAAGACCAAGCGAAGTCGCATTCCCATTCCGTTCCTAAATACGTATTGTGATGGGCGTAGCTTCAAGGCTAGGGGCGTACATGCATAGTCTAGCTAGGAGAGATGACACGGGTTTGGTCTCATCTCATGATCAATCCCCAGCCTCTTCGGGGAGTCAGTGTCAATGTCCAGTGTGATTTCTCCTGTCATATGATGTTCTCACAACTGACACCGGTCGCCAAAGTGCACGATACACCAAACAACTTTTGCTGTCTTTAACGCTGGGTGGTGTTTGCCGCTGTTCTTCTGCCTCGTCCTCTCTACCATATTCTCTCCCAGGTCCTCTTGAAGATGTTCATCTTGGCTAATCTTGCCTTTTCCACCTCCTCGAATCCGCCTTCTTCCCATTCCTTGCACTCCTCGTCAATCTCCGCCTTGCCACTCCAGATGTCGCAGGTCTTGGGGTCTACCCACTTCGTGCGCTTCACCACCTTCCAGAACACAAACATAAAGATGCCATAGGCAAGTCCAAAATAGTTCGTCACAAAGCCCTGCGTGCTCCAGGGGACGAAGCTGTCAAAGCCGATGAACAGCATGACGGTGCAGCCAACGCCGATGGCGAGCCATGCGGTGTAAGGGGCGAATGGCGCCTTGTACGGAAGGGTGTTGCGGTCAATCCCTTGAGCTTTGAGCGCCCGGTACCAGCCAAGGTATGTCCAGAGCATACAAACGTAGGTGAGAACAAAGGCTATTGTGCACAGCCAAATAAACCAGAAAAACACCGTCACGGCCGAATTGGATGCGACGAGGTAGGTGATCAAGGAGATAACCGTCACCACCAGAACGCAATAAGTCGGGATCCCAGATTTTGTGCACTTCATCAAGAACTTGGGCGCCTGACCATCGCGAGCGAGCCCGTAAAGGGTTCGGCTGGTGGAGTAGAGATAAGCATTGCCACATGAGAGGCCGGACAGGAGAATGAGGGCGTTGATGAAACTGGGAAGACCGGTAATACCCAGATTTTGGATCCCAAGCACCCATGGCGAAGCGGCCGCACCGGCCTTTCCGTCGTTGATAGCGCTAATCAGCCGAGCATCTCGAGACGAGCAGATGATCCCGACGCAGAGTACGCCCACAACGTAGAAGCCCACCAGCCGGTAGAAGACGAGACGAGCAACACGCGGAATGGTTCTTCGCGGATTTTGGATCTCGCCTGCAGCGAGAGCGATCAAGTCTGGCCCAGAAACGGTGAATGCCGCATATCGAACAACGCTCCAGAAGCCGAGAAAGCGTCCAGTGGCGCCAGTGGTGTAATATGGGTGCATGGCCATTCCGTGTTTCCAGTAGCGGAAGCCATATGCATCATGTTTCGGATTCCCGCCGACCATGGTGATGAACGTAAGGAGAACAAGCCCTATAAGAAGGAGGATTTTCGTGGAGGCCATGATGAATTCAGACTCTCCGTACCATCTGTCACGCAATGATTAGAGCTCGCAGACAGTTTGCGCCATTCACTTGGTAGAACGAACCTGACGGCCACGAGATTAAAGAAGACGCAGACCACCAGGGCCATCGTCACCCAAACCGCTGAGTTGACGCTGGTGTTCCAGTAGGTCATGACTGTGGCGACCGAAGCATACTCAGTGCACACAAGCATCGCCCCAGCAAAGAAATAGGTCCATCCCATGGCGAATCCTAGGGCAGGGTCGACGTAACGGCCACCAAGCTCAAAAATTGTGCCTCGTATAGGCAGCCATGCAAGCATCTCAGCCACGAGTAAGTATCCTGGCCAGATAAAAAGGATGCCCCAGAACAGGTAGCCCAGAACAAGAGAAAGTGGGCCAGCATTCTTCAGACTGCCACCGATCCCCACAAAAAGTGCCGTTCCTATACTTCCACCGATGGCCATCAACTGAACGTGACTATTGTACAGTCAGCATCGAGAGCATGTGTGCGGAAAGGGCCGAGGCGCTGATCTGCCCCTTGCACCACTGGAGAATGCCCCAGGACACACTCACCGAGGTACGAGGCCTCGCTTGGTCTGACGATATTTGGCCCATTCAGACCTGGATAGGCGCCTCTCGTACAGGTCACCCTCTTGAGATGATGCTTCTGAGACGACGACCGCCTCTCCCGCACGAACCTGCTTACTATCCGTTTGGCTGTCCATCTTGCCAAGGTTGCGTGTGTGCTGATGAGGATCGATTTCGGAAGGGGTTCTGCGTGGTACCATATATATGGGAGCAGAGATAAGGGCCAGAGATGGCAAAGTCGACCATGTCGACTGCCGAATAGAACTCGCATGCTCCAGCAGTGGCAGTTGCGGGCATCTCCACGATTGACCAGGATCTTCACTCTGCGGGAATTTAGTCTGCAGGCCACTTTGACGCGCCAGAAGGGTATGATAAACAGGAATGGTTAGGCTCTCCGAGAGCTATCTGAACTGCTTTCGTCATTCTGGAGAGACAGGTCACGACATGCCAGGGTTGCTGTTATACACTAGTGACATCCGATCGCGAGACGTTTAAAGAGAAACAAATATTGGGGAAGCCAACTGCCAGTGGCTTTGCTGATCGTCCGCATGGTTGCATTCCAGGTGGTCTCGGCCTTGTGCCAAGTCTGGGCAGTTATACTGCAACCGGCAAGGTCAAAATGCCGTCTTGAAGGATTGACCGCGGCTTATCTATCTCACACACTTACCGTTACTGGGGATTGGGGCGAGAAAAGGAGTGGTATGGAGTACCTCGTTTCCGCCGCAATTTCCTGTTGTGGTTCGATATCTGGTTGATAACGGGTGAGGAGTCCAGATCTCACGAGGATTGATAGGCAACGGCTCACGGATTTTCCCACGTGGATGGAAACGAGGCCGCTATCGATATGTGGCGGCACCATCAATTGGCTTTATGATCGCTTGTCTGGACTGTTCCCTTGAGAGTCTTCACCATCAAATGAAAGCGGTCTCGTGAGTTTCTTATATCAGGAAGCCGTGGTGCCGGTAGCGAGAGTGGTTGAGAGTCGAGACGAAAACCCTCTCGACTCACTGAGTAACATAGTAGCGGCCCCGTCCCAAGGGCTAGCTTCCCGTATTCCTCCTGGTTTATTTGCTGATGCTGGTAGATGTCTCATGCGTGAGGAATGCCATTCTCCGAATTGACGGTGGATATGTTGCCAAGACCTATCCATGGGAATTGGAAGCCAGCGATCAATACAGGATATGCCAGAAGCATCGTGTCCGCAGCATAGTCGTGTCCAAGGTGTCAGATCATGAGCGCATGGCTG